AGCCGCTCGGCAGCTAGAGAGTCTCATTGGCTACGAGTGAAAACGATCATTTTATCTTTAAACGCGTTTTTCTCGAAACAGCTTTTTCCGAATTTGCTGCAGTGATTACTCAAAACAAATGATCTGATCACTATCGAATTTTCTGTTCTGTTCTATATAAAATTCTCCGTACAATGACCTATCGATTTTTGATCTCATCAAAAAATCGAATTTTGGCAGGCCAAAAACGTCAAAAATTTTGAGTAAAATTCGACAATTTTTTTTAAACGCCGCCATATTGTAAATTTTTGATTTTTTTTGCCGTAGGTCATTGTACAGACAATATTATCTAGTAGAGAACTTTTTTTTTTAGATATCATCCACGGAGAAGGCCGTAATCACTGCAGTAGTGAAGGATCTTTATTTTCGCGCCGTTTGAGATCGACTATAACTTAAAAATTATATAATTTTTTCTACAAAAATTTCGCTGCATATTCTTGAAACACGTATAAATATATTCTTAAAATTTTGAAATAATTTATAAAGTCTTTTTTTTATAAAATATCCCAAAATCACCTTTTTTTAGGCCATTACACTAGGTGTGCACCTTAATACAAAACAGAAAGTCGAAGTAAACAAAAGCCGGAGAAAGAGTCGAATTTCAAAGCTTGTTTTGCATTAACACAAAGAAAGGAATCTATCGAACCCCTTAAATGGATGCTTAACGTAATCTCACTAAGTATTGTAATTCGACCCAGTTTAGTTAAAACTACAAACACGACTTTAAAGTGTCAGCAGATTAATAAGCGATAAAAGACGAAAAAAATATTCTGCGGACGAATAATGGAACGCTGGATAGGTCATACCATCCGAATGTAGTCGATCTCAAATCTTGGAACTCATTTGCTTTGGTTAATTTCTTCGAAAACAAGCCACCTCCGAACGGCTGACGAACTTTTAGGCGGAACTCTGAATTTCATGTCAGACTCATGATTGTCCGCATGACAGAACACAGAGCTATCCTTTTGGCCAACGCGGCTTACTTATGTACCTCTATGTATATATGTATCTCTATTATTATCTTGTATTTTAAAAACTTTATTAAAACATTTTTTTCCCAGCAAGTACTCATTTGCGACAAACGAAAACAATTCTTATGAATTAAAAAGCAATATTTTTTCTAAATTATAAATTACGAAACGTTAAGTCAACTTAATTATTGCAACAATTTTATTAAAAACATGTTAAGGTTGAAATTTACTTATAAATTTAAATTCAAACTGAGCAACTGCATAATCTCAACATTTTCGTGTCTGTTTCTCTGCACCCAAAATTTGAGGGCATAGCTCCTCAACTAGCAGAGGTTAAGTTAAAACAGTCTTTTCCAAATATATCCTGCATTTAAGAGCAGCGGCTTTAGTAATTTCAAAAATATGTACTTTTTTGTAGAAATTATATTTTATTACCCCCGCCGCGTCCTCCTTCAGTTGTATGTATATACAGTAGAAAAAATAAAGAACAATGCAAAAGATGAGCAGAAAGATTCGTAATTTATTTCGCAAAATTCTGAGTCAACAACCCATCGATTAACACGCTATGTGCGTACATACTTATGAGCATATTACATTTAATTACTTTTCTCCGGGTAAGTGTTTGTTTGTCAAATGTTTTAGTTTTGCATATTTTCAATGCAAGCAATAATTAGTGCGCGTATGTATGTATGTAAGTATGTATGTATGTCGAAAATTCTTTTGTGCACACATATGCATTTCTAGATAAATACAAAGGTCTTGCGAAATTTTGCATAAAATTGATCTATAGAAAATAGCCTTGACAACAAGTGATCGCTAGTGGAAGGGTTATTGTATTAGAGCACCCAGAAAGGATCATTTAAATTGGTCTATCAGACCTCTTCTTTTGTTCTATTGTTTATTTTTAAATGTATTTGTTTGTTTAAAAAACAACCTTTAAAATTCTTGGCTGCATTCTTTATTTACAGCAGAGTTTAAATTATGGTTTTATGGAAGAACATAAAATATTATGGATATACTCGTATGTCTTGCGTATTGACCCTTTTTAGAGTCACTGCTGGCTATATTTAAGTTAAGGAACTCTGCTTTTTGAACACTAAACAATTTCTTAGATATAACAATACACAAGATTGTTTATTATTTCTGTTTTAAGTGAACGAAGTAATTGTTTTTAAAAAATATTTCGCCGGGGAAAATAATTTATATTATGAATTCGACTTTAAGAGCCATTAAGGCGAAATTAACTTCCATACCCATAACAATAAACGGAGATAATTTGGAAAACCGATATTGCCGTGGATAATTTGCAAAAAAAAAAGGACAGCGTTCTGCTTTGTGGAAGGATTTACGCGTCCACGGAGTCAGCAGTTTAGGTTGCTTAAGAGCCGCAATTTGAGCTAATTTCTCAAAGGAGTTTTTGCTATAAAGGTGCTCCGTGTGGTCCGATACTTATCATTCGCTTGAGTTTCCTCTAGTGTGTCACATCCACTCATATACAAACAATAATTGAAAGTTCTTAAAATTCAAAAATCATTTTAAAACCTTACATCTTCACACTCTTCAACGATATAGAGTTTCATCTACCGCAGTTGATACTCAGCAGTGTTCATCGCTTGAAAATATACCAGTACATAACATCAGACATGTCTAGCACGGGCTTCACTATGGATTTTTACATTGAAACTCTGGAGAAGGCACTACGTCGGAGTATTCCGGACCCTGTCCAAAGCCCAGAAGCCAGTACAAAAGAAGATTTAATTACGGGATCTTTGGGTTTACTTCTAATGAAGCGTAAGCCACTTGTCGAAAAAATTATAAAGGATATTTCGACAACACCGGGGGGACTGACAGTCTTCCAAGCGGTTAAAAAAGCACTGGATGAACAATCGGGGAATTCGATGGCAGATATCGAGGAGTTAAATATTTATACAGAGCTAGTTCAAATTCTGCTAAGTTCCTGATTATTAATTTACTATGTTCAATGAAAGTCCATATAAAGATGAAGCTAACAACCATTGAAACACGCTATTCAAATATAAAGTTGATATAGAACAGTTGCAACCCGAACATTTGCATGACATCACATTTTTAATATTTCCTATATTTTTTTCCTAATATTTAATTTACTTAATTTGGCGCTTTAAACTTTTTTTTCAAAAACTTGTTCAAAACATTTTTAATAAATAAATAAAATCAGTTGAAAAAAGAAACCCTCGGTTGTGTTTTGAGTATTTTGTTACAGATTTAGGTAGAGTTCAATAAATTTTATTGAAGGAAAGTAAGGTGATAAACCATTAATTATTGATCAACTAAACTAAAAGAAGAGGAAATAAATCATAATAAACAAATTAAATAACAAAAAGTAATAAAGAAAAATGAAACATAAAAAATAAAAACTATAAAAATAAAGTAATATAAAATAGAGATAAAAGTCATATAAGGGAAAAATATGAAGTAAAATAAAAAACAGAACAAAATTAAATTAAAAAAAAAAATAACAAAAACCTGGAATAAGAGTTAGTAATGTGAGAAATATAAAGCAACACAGAAAGTATGAAATCAAAGTTGTTAGCTGATAAAAAGACAAATAAAAAAATATTAAAAAAAAAATTAAATAATTAAATCAAATCAAGGCAAAACGAAAATTTAATAAAATGATACATAAAGAAATAAAAAAAAAACAGTTATAAAGAAAAACAAAACAGAAAAAGCACAAAAGTAAAAATTTGAAAAAATAAAAAAAAAACTAAATTAAATAAAGAAACGATATTTAAACAAGAGAAAATCAGAGCAAAACTAAAACTGACAAAAAAATAAAAATCAGTAATATGGAAATTAAGAAATCAGTAGCAAAGAAAAGTAAAACAAAAAAATCACAAATGAAATTAGTATATCAATACAAATCAGAAAATACAATAAAATAACATAAAATAAAACAAAATAAAATAAATAAATTAAAATAAAATAAAATAAAATAAAATAAAAAAAAAATAAAAAAATAAAATAAAATAAAATAAAATAAAATAAAATAAAATAAAATAAAATAAAATAAAATAAAATAAAATAAAATAGAATTAAATTAAATTAGATTAAAATAAGTTAAATTAAATAAAATAAATCTAATTAATTAAATTAATTATTGTTTCACAAATTAAAGTAATATATCAAATTAATTAAATAATTAAATTAAAACAAAACAAATTGAATGAAATTGAAATTAAACTTCAAAGAAAGCAGAGAAAACGCTTAACAAATAGCAGATGATTTCCCGGCAATATTTCCGTCAGATTTATGTGAGCCCGTACCAAACGTGCGGATGCTTTATGATTCCGCAAATGTAAAATACAATTAAAAACAATCAAAGAAGAATCTTAACACATATTTTAAAGCGAAGATAGATTATTTGCTTGGTTTGGTGAATGACAATAACAGAAAGTAAGCCAGAACAGTTTGATTGCTGAATACTCTGGTGAAAGCAGGGTAAGACGAGTGACACAAATATATGCGCGGCACAACGAAAGGAATGTGGATTCCAAGACATACCAGCGATAAGAACAAGAATAATAATAGTTGCTTGTCTAACAAAGGCGACAAATTACCAAATGGCCAAAGCGACGAGCGATTTGTTTTCACATTCCATCACAGACAAACCAAAGAAGACGCGAAGTGATCACAGGGACATTCAAACATACACACGAATTTTCTCCTTTAACTTTGTTGCATGCAACAACAACAATACTTGTAGATTTCTTTCTTTGTTTTTTTTTTGTCTACCGCTTGTTATATTGACCATATTGCCTTGTGCTACGTGTCGTCGCATGAAAATGGAAATTTGCTGTAAATGACAACAACAACAACCGCGCTACAATAAAAATGTGAGCGCGAACTTAGCTCTAAAACTAATAAAAAAGTTTTGTACGTACATAAATAGCGTAATTGAAGAAATAAGTTTCAAAAAGGTTTGTGGTGTGAAATGTTGTTATAACTTACATCGACATTAATGCCAGACACCGGAAAAACCAATGTGGGTGGCGTCTCCTTAGGGACATAACGATAGAATTCCTCAGTGCCGAAGTACCAGCGGACAGAATAGAGAGCGGCCTGTAATGAAAGAGAGAGAGAGAGAGAGAAGGAAATATTAGAGTTTTCCATAAACAACAGTTTTTGTAAAATGGAAATTATACCAACTAAACAATTTCTCACAAAATTGAAATTCAATTAAAATTTAATCTATCAAAAAATATTTATAAATAATAAAAAAAATCTCAATCAACAAAAATTAATAATATGAAATAGCAAAAATTCAAAAACTTTATATTAATGAATTAAAAGTAAAACCGCTACAGCTGAGTAAACATACAATAAATCATAAATAAAAACAAAAGAGTAAAAATAAAAAAAAATTAAGTGGAAAATATAAAAAACAAAATAAAACATACTAAACTTAAATAAAATATAACAGTATGAAATGATATTAAATAAAATAAATTCAAAAAAAAAAATAAATTAAATTATAATTAAATAAAATAAAACTAAATCAAATAACACAATATCAAATAAAATAAAATAAGTTAAAATAAAATTAAAACAAAATTAAATAAAAATTAAAAAAATAAAAAAGAACAAAATGAAATAATTTGTAGCAAAAAACAGAAAATAAAAGGAAACAAAATGAAATGAATTAAAAAATAAAACAAAGTCAAAGAAAATGAAATAAAAATATAAAATCAAATACAAATTAAAAAAAATAAAAATTATCACAATATAAAATAAAATAAGGCAAAACGAAATAAAATTTCAATAAATTAAATATAACGAAATAAAAAAAAAACAAAAAAATTAAATGTAAGTAAATTAGATAAAAAAAATAAATTACATATAATAAAACAGTAAGAAGTAAAATGAAATAAACTTAAATAAAATTAAATTAAAATAAAATAATTAAAAAGAATAAAATAATTTGTTATAAAAAACATAAAACAAAAGAAAATAAAATGAAATATAATAAAAAAAGTAATATAAAACAAAATAAAACAAAGAAAATAAAATAAGATAAAATAAAATAAAAATAAAAATTACAAAATTATAAATAAAGTAAATTAAACGAGATAAAATAACATAAAAAAATATAATAAAATAAAAAAATACAATAAAAAAGAAATTAAATTAAATTAAATTAAATTAAATAAAAGAAACTAAAATAAAATTATATTAAATTAAAACAAAATTTTTGAAAAGAAAAAAATATTTGTAGTAAAAAATATAAAATAAAAGAAAATAAAATGAAATAAAATAAAATAACATAAAATAAAATATAATAAAATAAAAAAACGCAAAAAAACAAAATTTAATTAAATTAAATAATATAGAATAAAATAAAAGAAAATAAAACAAATCAAACAAATCAAATTAAATTACAGTACTAAAATTTATAACATAATAAAATAAAGTATTGAAATAAATATAAACAAAATAAACAGATATAGATAAAAAAAAAAATTAGAAAAAAAAATAAAAAATAAATAAAAAAAAAATAAAAAAAAATATGAAAATAAAATAAAACACAACAAAATAAAATAAAATAAAATATATAAATTAAATTCAAATAGAGTAAAATGAGATAAAAGAAAGTCAAATAAAAGAATATAAAAATACTATTCATAAAACTAAATAAAATGTGGTAAAATAAAATTATATAAAATTAATTTCATGAAAGGCATAATAGCCAGATTTTGTTACACTACACAGCGTGATATACACAAGTAAAGCCAAGGAGAGGCATAAGTATCAGCATGACCCAGCAGGCAAGTACTAAATGGAATTAGAGACGAATTACCGTGCAATTATTTTAATTGAGAAGCTCAGCAATGAGCACCATGCCAGACATATTACATAAAATAAGTGCAAAATAATTAATGCCATTCCATGCCGTGTAATGTAGCGAACGCTATGCCAAGTGACAAATAACATTAACGCTGGTAGCAGTTCAGTTCAGAAGAGGAAATGCAAGGCCATGCTTATGGCTTTAAGGTGCTTCGGGCACTTGTTGTAGCCTGATGTGCAAGTGCCGGGCTATTTAAAAAGCAAAAAGTGTCACGAGAGAGTTTATAACTATATAAAGCAAATATATATGTATAAGAAAATAATAAATATATAGTGTAAGTATGTGTTTTGGTAAACTTTCTTACCTGCTCCAGATCGTATTGACATGAAAGTGTCGCTGCGTTGCCCATAATAACCGCCTCAGGCACGAAAATCTTCAGATCCTTCAAGCAGTGTGCTGTATGTAGGCGGCGATGTAGTGATGATACAGGGAGAGAGAGAGAGAGAGAGAGAGAGAGAGAGAATATGTCATTAGCACAATAAATTGATAATAAATTTTAATGAGAAATATGTATATATGATTTTAAATAAAAATAATTTAATTGTGGATTTTAGTGAGTACACAGTGAAATAATTTTCTTTTGTTAATTTTTCAATACAGAATAAAAATTCCTTTTGTTTCTTAAGGTTTTCATTTTCAATCAAATATAATTAGCTCCAAAGGTCCTTAATCGACTTTTCGATAATGTGGAGTGTTAAATTCGACTGCTCTTGTATCTAATGAATCAACGTTAAATGTTTAAAAACTGATTATAATTTGAATTATTAAAAATACTTTTTTCGCATTTTATTTTTTTTATGTAAACTCTTTGTATTTACCACATGTTTTTTGTGATATTTTTGCATTGCAAAAATTCATGTTTTTTTTTTCACATTTTCTTTTTGCGTCATTTAAGCGTAGCGATAACACAATGTGCGATTATAGAAATTAATTAAGCTTAAATGTTGAAAATTAATTTATATTATTCTATGTGAACAAAGGATGTTTGGTGGCCACAGGAAAAAAAAATCACTTAAAAAGTAAATGTTAAATATGTTTATATACACGCAGGCACATTTCAAACACACACACTCACATATGTATGTATGTATGTACGCTTGCATTTACAATAGAAAAGATTTCAGCGCTGGGCGTGTGACACCACATCAATGGCAGCCATGGACGAGCACGCGCTCGCTTCTCTTGGTGTTGCAAGCGCCGGCGTCGACATAAAATACAGACAGCAAATATTTGACACTATTCACACATACAAACAAACAATTTATCAATTTTCGCGGTCCCTGATGCCTCCAACAGCGCCCACATGAATTATACACACATACACATGCAAATTTATGAAACACACAAACTCGTAGCACAAAACGCGCTAAATTGTGCAAAAATGGCGAACAAAAAGTTTAATGAAATATGTGCGCCAAAAAATATGACATGAAATAAAATAAATAAAAGGCAAAAAAAATAAATTAAATAAAATAACGAAAAAATATTAGCATTGCATATATTACCAACAGCAGAAGGCAGTGTACGCAGAGAAATATATACGAAAAGGTAAGGAAAACTGAATTCGTGTGGTACCAAATATTAGAAATCCAAAGGTCGGTTATAAATGAAGGGTTTGTTATATGAGAAGTCGGTATATTTCTCATCCTGCGGAGCTAGGTTTTAGTGTAACTTTAGTCCCCATGAAAGGTAGCAAAATCAATTACTGAGTTGGTTGAGTTCTGTTTATGCCTTAGCCAATTGTAGGCGCAGTTGTTGCCCCAACATCAGCCTTTTCAATTTGTCTTCAAGCCAGATCGTGTGAATCTTAAGTAGAGGGTTTTCCAATGAAAGCTGCCATTTTGAATATTCCGGTAGACGTCACTTATATATTGGTCAAGTAAGAAGTTTGTTCGGTTTTTATTGATTTTTTAAAATCTGAAAACCTTGTGTACATTTGTCCGAATTAAGTCAAGTATGCGCCGTTTTGTTCGCAAACTTGTTGCCAACGATATGTTAGCTTCATTATACCCCTCTCGTTGAAAGGTGCGCCCCTATTGCCAAACAACTCGGAGAGCTAATTTTCACAGGCCTCTCTTGAGGCCAACTTCTCACCATTAAGCGCGTTCGCCGTGGACAGGAAAATATGATAATCACTTGGTGCCAGGTCCGGACTATAAGGTGGGTACATTAGACCCTCCAATCCGAGCTCTTAGAGCTTCTGGCCCGTCACCAAAGACGTGTGTAGCCTGGCGTTGTCCTGATGGAACATAATTCGGCTTCTGTTGATCAAAGATGGCCTCTTCTGGATGAGTGCTGCCTTCAAGCGGTCCATTTGTTGGCAGGAGAGTGCCGAATTGAGCGTTTGTCCATAGGGGAGCAGCTTGTAGTAGATGATTCCTTGCCAATCCCACCAAGCACACAGCAAAACCTTCCTGGCCGTCAATTCGGTCTTGGCCACGATCTGTGTCGCTTACCCAAGCTTTGACCACGACCGTTTGCGCTCGATGTTGTCGTAAGTCACCCACTCTTCATCGCCAGTCACAATCCGCTGCAGAAGCGGGTCGATTTTGTTGCGATTCAGCAGCGATTTGCAGACGCAAATTCGGTCCATTATTTTTTTTGCGTTAGTTCGTGTGGCACCCAAACATCGAGCTTCTTTTTGAATCCAAGGTTATGCAAATGGTTCCAAACGTTTTTCCGGCTTATCTTTAGTTCCTCAGCAATTGAATAAGTGCTCACCGGTCTGTTTTCACTATTTCCACGATTTTATCGCAATTTTCGACCACAGGCCTCCCAACGTGTGGAACCTACCAAACCACTTTTTACTTGAACTAATATCTGGCGTTTTCTAATCGCTTTCGGCCGAACTGTTCCTCCAATTGCATCTTGCATCTTGATGTTTGTCTAAACAAATAGGGGCCCTAGAGTTTATCAGAGGGGTTGTCATTCTCTGCCGAGGGTGACCGAAATTAGAAAATTTAACTGATTTAATAATTTAAATTAATTTTCTGTTAGTTTTTGGGAAGATCGTACGTTACTAGGAGTTATGCCAGAGACTTCCGAATGCCAGTACACAATGCTAACCACTCGGCTACCGTGGCCGCCATTTACGAGATATATATTTTATTTTTTATCTGAAAAGTGAAAAATGAAACGATACATAGATATTGTTGCTTCTGGGGCTCGGAAAACCCTCTCCATCCTCAACGTGTAGCTGCTTGGTGAGGTTTATGATTCGGCTTGGTCATTGGAACTTTACCTTTTCGAAAATGAGGCTGGATCCAAAGCTACGCGGAATGGATTGCGCTATCGAGATATGATTAATGATTTTTTATGACCAGCGTACCTGACCAGCTACCTCATACACAAAAAACGAAATCATTGATCTTTTAAGGGAAAAGTTTCCGGACCGTGTTATTTCTTGAATAGCTGATCTCAATTAGGCACCAATGTCTTGTAATCTAACATGTTGCAACATTTTCCTTCAAGGTCACGTGAAAGATAATATCTACGCTAACAGACCAACGGCGATTCACAAGACCTCAAAGATAAAGGTATAGAGAGCACTTTCCGATTTGGTGTTTGCTAATTTCATCAAAAGGATACGTTGCTGTAAGCATAGCCATTTGGCTGATATTCCTTTCCATTATTTATAAAATATTTTTCTCTTTCGATTGAAATTAACAACCAATCATTTATCTCAAAAAAATATAATTTTTTCTGGGCACATTAAAGTTATTGTACATCACTTGGGAAACCCTCTATAGAGTTTTATCGACTTTTCGTTTCGGACGAAAACTTTATGAACAAAAAGTGACCCGAAATTCTTCCCCAAACCCCAATTTAAGCTAGATGGAAAAGGGATGTCAGCTTCGTTGAACTCAACCCGTTCGCATTAGTGTCGGTACGTCTGATCCCAGGAGTGTGTTAAGAAGATAAATTTCCCTTCTTAATTTCTGCTATATCTATAGAAGATTATTTTAATTTTTTTAAGTCGAGCCGAATAAAGGTTTCGATGAAATAGCAAGTGCCCACTCAGACTTTAAAAAACCGCCAAAAATCTAATTTTCACATTTTTTTAATTTTCCCTTTTTTTAAGTGCCTTAAACGTGCCTTGAATTTTGTTGCTAACGCAGAATTACTTTTATCTGAGAGGTCAACGCAAATGACGTCATATTGGCGGTGTCGAGGCTATTTTCCTTTGAGTAACAGTACTCCAATATGTTCTTTGGAATTCAACAATTATCATCTACCAACAACAATTTAACAGAAAATAGATAGAAAATTCTCTATATATTTCAATGATTGGTAGACAGCATTTTGTTTTTCTTGTTGTAAGTGAAACTTCTTCATCGGCATTTAGATTGAATTAGACACAGCGTTCGCGCAAGAGAGACGAAATATATCGTTTATACAAGAGAGAATTGTTTTATAAAATGAAAATATTGAAAATTAATTTTTGCCCCCATGAAGTTTCATTAGTGTTACATATCTCATACATATCGCGTACAGGGAGCAACGGGCCGACTTATATAGCTAAATGGTTTCCTCTCGTAATTGCATGAAGTTTGATATACTTATATCCGTATCTATTACAATTATTGTAAGCCATTAGAAACAACCTTTAACTGAACAACCCTAATATACACTCTGGACATGGTACGCCTGATTATAAAAATACCACGCAAGGAAAGGTGAAACTTGTTAACCCGTTTAAGCTTTTTCAATAACTTCATACCAGTTAAATACCAGTTCATTTTAAAAAAACTGATATTCAACTTTGAAGGAATAAAAAAGAAATGGAAAAAAACAGAATTTTTGCAAATCAACCTTTCTTTTCACTGCAGGGTATTTGAACTATTTATGTTCATACATACATACATGTAACACAGATGTGTATGCATGTGCAAGTAGGTGTGTTTGCGCGTGTACATTTGTAAATATTAGCAGAGCATTGCTGCGTTTGACACATAATTAAGTGGCTTCACCAACAGCTATTAGCCAATTTTGTGGAGACCCGTTAGCTCTGACATTGCCGTTAACCGCAGAGCAGACGAAAGTCAATATGTCGCTGGCATTGCAGTTCGTCTGCTAGCGCTCGTGGCATTTAAATGGTGTGGCAAATTTATGTAAATAAGAGTTTTTAAGTTAATATTCCTTCTTGTCCGCTTGAATTGACGCATTTCAGCCTACTTTTCGGGACAGAGAGGCTCATGGTAGCATATAAAATATATCTAACTACATATATATATAAATATATGCGGCACAAAAATAAAAATTGCAATGATAACAGCAACAAATACAATAAATACAATAATAGCAATAAATATGTTGTAGCAATTGCGATGTCCCGCCTCCTGCCATAAGCTGGGAGAGATATTTTGGTGCGTCAATAGAAGGAGTTGCAAGTGCAA